GTAAGTTGTAAATCGATATTAAAACTGGCCAGCATGAGTACGTTGTAGAAACTCCACGGAATGGATTGAATCCATCAGTTGATAAAGCTAACCGAAGGTTCCTAGTGTCAGAAGCAAATTCAGGCCACCGGCTGTCAACATCCTTCCATGTTTTTGAGTCTGCGGGGTGTCTAATCTTGCCATCCTTTTGTCGTTCGCTGTCATGCCAAGTCATATCCTCTGCAATATGTGGTGTATTAAAGAAATTCCTCAACCTCGGAAGTAAAGGAAAATACCACAAAACCTTAGCGGGTACCCCTTCCAATTCTTTGCCCTTTCTATTCAACTTCCATCTAGAGATCCCACATATGCGACATGTTGTACTATCTTCATCTCTCTCGCCATAATACAGAAGACAATCATTTGGGCATGCATGTATTTTTTGATAATCCATACCTAAAGCACATAAGGTCTTCTTTGCTTCACTAAATGACGAAGGCAGGCAGTTGCCCTTGGGGAGAAATGTCCCCAGCAAAAGCAGAATTTCAGAGAAGCATGAATCAGAAATCCCATGCTTTGCCTTCAAGTTATATAATTTCACTAGTGCCTTCAGCTTAGTGTAGGTCTTGCATCCCGGGTAAAGGGGTTCAGAATCCCCTTGGACATGGTTCATGAAATCAGAGTATTCAAAAGACCTGTCCTCACCATCTTCTTCGCTGTTTTCTTCTGTTCCATCGTCAAATGAGTCATGAACACGTTTATTGTGTGGGTGAGGGGGTTCATCATCTGGATTTAGCTCTCCGTGCCATATCCAACATGTATATGATTCATCAATACCATGTTGGAAAAGATGTGCCCTAACTGTTTGTATGTTCCAGGATTTTGTGTGAACACACTTTAGACATGGACAACTAATTTTTTGTCCCTCAAATCTGTTTTCACTTGCAGACCTTAACAATTCATCCACTCCTAGTTCATACTCTTTGCTTCTTCTATCGGATTTCATCCACAATTTATCCATACGTAATTGAGATAAGACTGCTGACTTACCAGACTCATGTCATGAAGGGTTCTAGCAGAGTATTACTCCATCGCCGAAAATACCGCAGTGATGAAGAAACAGCTAGACCTCAACTGTGGCTGAAATTACTCGCCGCTGGCCATTTCTGAACATAAGAGCTCGATTTCACCCTTGGCTTAATTTCATCCCAGCGCGATCCCAATTTGGGTTTCCACTGTACACGCTATACCGCAGGTCCCAAGGAAAGTGGCAAAGGAGATTGACTTCACCTTTTTTTTTCACTGCTAGACTTCACCTAATTTTTTTGATGGGATCAAAAGTACAAATCTCTACCAAATTTGACTAAATGTACACTAAAAAACAAATGTTAGATTCACAAATAAAATGACTTATAAACTTCTATTAATTATATATAACAAAATTATACACAAAAAGTCATATACAAAAAAAAATTATGCAAAAAGTTTTGACTACCAAAAAAATTAATACTTAGTATTTCATTAAAAATTCATAGTGTTAAACATAATTTAGTTGTTTTAAACAAATTCTATACGTTGATCTGTTAATTCGAAAATTTTGCATTTTCAACCGTTTTTCTTTAAAAGTCACCAAAATATAACTTATACTTAGATGAATAAGGGAGATAATACTATACCCAACCCGACTTTAAAAAAATTTCAGGTCGGATTTGGATAATTTTTTTTTCGGTTTTGGTTAGATCATCAAGTAGTCGGTCGGGTCGATTAAACTCGGATTCGGGTTGAATTGTCATCCCTAATAAGCCACAATAAGGGAATACCTTGAAATGTTTTTTTAAATAATACATATATCCCAAGACGTATAGTAACTTACCAAAAGAAACATCTTAATCTAATAACATTTTGTTCCAAACTTCCTTCCGAAAACAAAACATATAATAACATACCAAAAATAACATTTTGGTTTTAATTGGCCACCCAAAAAACCATACAAAAACATCCCATTACAAACACCCCTCCACCATTTTAAGTAATTTGGAATGTAGGGGTTTTAATTGCCCACCCAAAAAACCATACAAAAACATCCCATTACAAACACCCCTCCACCATTTTAAGTAATTTGGAATGCAGGCAGTGTTCATTGGTCTACACCTTCTTCTTCTTCTTCTTATGTGTACTGCAGCAACCACTCACTTACTGCTTTTTCCTTTTGTCCTTCCTGCTGCCTTCAGCCATGGCCACATTACTCCTTGGACAACAAACGAATTGAAACAAAAAAACATTTATGTCAGGAGTTGCTCTTGAATTTAATCATCACGTAGTGTACCACAGTTGTAAGAAGAAATTAAACAAATTGGTACTATGCATATAACACATTATCCCAGCATCTCCTTAACCAATTTATCAGGCACACCGAAATTATTTTCGTAGGTTAAGATAGTGCCATTGATTTGCCAGGGTTAAACTATAATGCACTTTTAGGAGAGACACCATGAACTTGCTGGTTAAGATAGTTGTCAAGTTTGTTAATTTGGTGAGATCATTCAACAGACATTTAAGCCATTTAAGCTTATTGTATATTGTACAAAAAAATCAGCCAGTTCAACTAAAAATCAGCCAGTTCAACTAATAATCATCACAATGCACTTTTAGAAGTGAACACTGATACGGTAATCCCAGCAGGTTAAAGTATAACACACATGTATCAATGAAGTAGAAATTTCATAAATTACAAATGAAATTCGAGAATCTTATGAATTGGATGTGAAATTACATACCTAGAATTGATCTCTGAAATCGAAGAGTTCACATCTGAAGTGGGTTGCATGAACTTCATCACATCTGTCTTCGGATCCCAAGGTTTGTAGATCCCCGGAGAAGTCTCCATTGCGAGTATGTCATACCTCTTGCCGTCGTCTAGCATCAACTGCGTCTTCTTAGTCCCATCAATGATTATGACGTCTTCCTCTTCATGGTAATAGATGATTTCAGTCTCCTTTGAATCGTCCACACCATCATCGTCGCTTTCAATGAAAATTAATTCGTTCTCAGATACATGGCCGCCAACAACAGATTCGGATGAGAGGGCCATGGGAATGGAGAGAATGCGGGGAAGGGAGATGAGTGGACGGGTTTTTTCTGGAGTCTGCAGCGAGATCGGATAAGGAGGGGAAGGGAGATGAGTGGCTCTAGTTTGTTCAGTTCATGATAAAAGTCATTGATTTTATTAAGTGGTGGATGGAGGTAGATGAGTGGTTATCATGTCCAAATTGAATGTTGTTATTAAAGTAGGATAAATTTATTTAATTTGTATCCCAAAGTTTTTGTACCTCATCTGTACACCGCAGATTTGCACTAACATTTTGAGTAGGTGTAAAAATATTTTTTTAAAACACGACACTTTGTGTCCGTGTAAATTTTTGTTAACGCACCAACATATGTGTCAATGTAAACTATCAAAATATTATTGTATAAATGAGGTGTACAAATGTGGTACAATATTTGGTATAAGTATAACGTAGTCCATTAAAGTATTATTATTACTCAATATAAAAGTAACCAAATTCAGGTACATATACTGTTACATATACCAATAATTAACAATCTCAAATGTACTATTACATGTAACGATAACCTGGGTTATGCCTGAGATGTTACCAAGATAACCAAACTCCATTTCTTTTACATGTACCGACAATCGGCCTAGCTAACTCAATCTTGACTCGTTCACGAATACAGGTACAATATCAAACGTACTGTTACATATAACGATAACCTGGTTTCTGTCTGAGATGTGAAGATAACCAAACTCTTCAACTGTTACATGTACTGGCAACGTAATCGAACTCAATCTTGACTCCTTTAAGGATAATTACGAATATCAGACATACTGTTACATATACCGATAACTCGGTTTCAGTCTTGGATGTTACCATCCATAAGATAACCAAACTCTTCAACTGTTACATGTACTGATAACCTACCTAACTCAATCTTCACTCGTTCAGGGATAATTAATTACGAATATCAACCGCACTATAATATATATATATATATACACACACACACACACACACACACACACACACACACACACATACACTAATAACACGATGATGATGTTACAGCAGATATGGTACCAATATAAGCACAGTAACCAACTGCTACATGTAACGATAACCGAAGTCATTTTTTAGTCGTAATCTACTCGTTCCGATGATAAAACTTAGTCTTTAATTTAAGAATAACACAAAGTAATATTTTGGTTTTCACAATTCATCCATTGCTCTCGCTGTCCATGTAATAACACTATATATATAATATCCTTGATCTTTGTTCTTTTAAAAAATTTAATGTGAAATTTGGTATAGAATATCAGAAACTATATCAAAACATATACAAAACTAGATATGACACAAATTTATTATTTTATCAAATAAATAACAAACATTATTCAACAAAATCGTAGGAGTTTGAACAAAAGTAAATTGAACAAGGAGTTCATTTCTTAAACTAAAAACTTTACATTTTTTTACTACTCCCTCCGTCCCAAAATATTCTTTCCATTTTTATTTTTGGTCCGTCCGGAAATATTCTTCCCATTTCCTTTTTTAGTATACTTTTAAAGATAAAATTCAATAATATCTTTTATTTCGGAAAGTATGTGTATTTTTTTAAATCAACACGGGAAGAATATTTCCGGACGAAAGGAGTATTTTTTAAAAACTTGTCAAATCTACTATGTACATGTGAAAAAAACAATAGAGAACATTGTTTTTAAAACTTTTAAAATTTTTGCCAAAATATTGGCCAAATTCTACTACTCTGTACGTGGCAAAATTTTGGCAAAGAAGGGGCGAAAACTTTTAAAAATTTCGCCAAAACCTACCAAGCATACTCCCTCTAAAATTTTGGCCAAAATATTTCAAAAATTTCATCCACCCTTCAAAATTAAGCTGGAAGCTCACCACGTATCTTTTGTTCCTGTACCTCCCAAAAACCGAGAAGGCCTCCACAAAATAACTTCACCTAATTCAATCAATTCATCCACTCTACTCTGAACTTCAATCCCTACCTCCCGTCGCCTCCTCACTCAACCTTCTTCTCCGATTCACTTCCCTCTGCTATACTAGAGCCATAACCTACCGTTTTTGCCGACATAGGAGCTCAAAACCCTAAAATAAGGTAAGTCGTAAACCTCAAATCTGGTATTCCCTCCAACAATAGTCACCATTTTTGTTTTCCCAATTTTGTCGAATTCTTCTTGGCTTCTTCTTTGCATGCGTCTACCTCGCTGCTCAGATCCCCCAAAGTGGTAAGGGTTACATTTCTCAATCCATTGAAGTCACAATTCATTGGTTTGTTGTTATTCTTTTTAATTTACTATCTGTAAAGGCTTGCTTCCAGAAAGGGTTGAACCAGAAAGGGTTCAACCAATTCCTTAATTCGTTGAATTTGACACAGAGAGCAGCAATAATGAACAATTTTTTTTCTAGAGTCAACTCAATACTCCTTCCATCCTTTTTAAAATATATTTAAAAAAATATTAATCTTAATACGTTTTTTTTATCTCAGTATTTTGGTACAGACCTTTGTTGTTTGTGTAATGCTTGACATCAAATTTATTTTACTGTTTTAGTGTCCCTTATCACAAACTGTACTCCTGAAAATTCACCTAAAAAAATGAATGTGATAACCCACCTACAAATTGAGGCAGATCCCAATTTTTCATTATGCGCAGCATTTATTCGATATATACCTTATTTTATACTGAAATGTTTGGTCTTCACTCACTTTCAAAATATGGCCAGCACTCAACAGAATGCGCAGGCTGGATGTGCAATCCAAAAACCAATTCTCCGATCCTCTCCAAGGCACAAGAAACCTGAAGGTCTTTCAGACCGTAATGAAATGCAATGTCATAGTGCCCCATGTTGGAAAACATTTTCACTTTGACATTTTGCTAATGACAATGTTTGTTTCCGTTTAGGTTTTGATATTGACAAACCGTCGGGAACATGGAACAAAATGAAAAGATTCAAAGAGATTGAAAAAGTTCTTTGAAGAAACAAAAAGCACAAGAAAGGCATTGACGCTTCTAAAGATGACGACATTGGAGCTTTGAAGACGTATTCTAAATACTTAGGTTTTTATTGTAACAAGCTCATTCAATTTCTCTA